GATGGTGATTTTTCCCCAAAGATTTCTTATCCAAAAATAACAGTAATTACTAATCAACTTTATCTAGCTTGTTTCTGTTATCAGTTGAGTCCAAAAAAAATATTGGATTAATAACAGTAACGTCAATGCTCAAAACAGGCAGTCATAAATAATTTTGAATCATATTCTGGAAGATTTACATTTAATAAGTTTTAAAAGTTGTTATCAAGTGCCACATAGTATCTTCCTAACTTATTCAGGCACGTGATCTGAACACCCAGGAAAATATTACGATTGAGGTTTATTTTACTTGTCAATAATATTGGAGCTAGATTAGATTTTCTGTCATGAAATCTGTGATTAATTACAAAACTAGGTTGCTTGAGTTGGAGCAGAGGCAAACATGAAAATCTTTATTATGAAGTGTTATGCTGGAAAAAATTTCCTTTCTAGGTAAAATGAACTGCAGAATATATCTTGAATGCTTATTTTTCTCTTAATATTTACCTGCTGAGGTCTAAAGAAGATTTTTTTCTTTATAAATGAGAAAAGCTATTTCAAAAAAAATCACTTAGTATTTATTTGTTTTTAGTGGACTACAGTACTCCCAGATCTGATGTCAGATACACTGAATGATGCAAAATACAATTCTCTGAAATTTGTCTTCTCTTCCTTTGATTTAAAAAAATCCAGGAGTTTCTTTTCTAGAGTAACATATCCTTAGTCATGGTAGAATCTCAAAGTTTATTTGTCAAAGTGCTGTATTTTATGATAGTCTCTTACAAATGAGTTGATACTGACAAATGAAGTTTTTGATAGTAATTTATCTTGTGAAATTGATGTTTATACAGTTATGTAGAGTCACAAGGGTTAGTAGTGATATGCTTAGTAAGGCTTTCATATTCCCAGTATGCTTTTTTATACAGGTAAGAAGAGTAATGTGTAACATAAATAAAACAAGGAATGTGATACCTATATAATAAATCATGCTTACTCTATGATAGAATTGGGTGTTCTTTATATGATCACTAATTTTAGATGCATGCATAAGAAAGTTTAAATGTAACATTTTCTGCATACCTTTTATGTGCATGATTACTTTCACAAACACTATGTTGAAGAACTGGGCAAAGTTTTTACCAAAGCCTTTATTCTGCTGACCTGAAGACTAGATTACTTTCCCAGCAAATCTTATAATGGGATGTTTCCAGGCAAGTTGTTCTCACCCCTAGAATATGAGAAGAGTGTGTGTCTTCCAGAACAAGGATGTTAGAAACCCTGCTTATTCTAATCTCCTTTTCTTCCCACTATCTGATGCAAAATCTAGGGTAATGGCGGGGATCTGTCAAGAAATCAGTATTATCATTCTGAAGAAAAGTAGCCCACTGGCCAATACTCACCTAGGATTGTTGAGAAAGTAAAAACTTAAATTGGATTTAATCTATTATATATTTAAGGTTGTGTTTTTGCCTACTTTAAATACTATAGTGTAATAATATTACATTGTTTTAGTAATGAAAATATAGCCCATTTTCCCATATGACTATATAAGAGCATGATGTGAGTTGTGTTACCAATTTAAAGCAGTCTTACATTTGAAATTCAGCAGTAAGCATAAATGCAGAAAATGACATTTAAGTTTCATCAGGTTAACAATAAACTGCTGTGAATATAGGCAAAATACTTTAAAATGGTAGCTGAAATGCAATATTGAGATAACCTGTCTGCTACAACTAAATTTTTTTTACCCTCTTCTGGGATCAAAATTGTCCTAAATTTATAAGATAAATTGATGAAATTTACATGCTTAGCATTTTCTTTGGTGCTTGATTTCAGTATACTTTACCTTTATAAACAAAACAATCCTAGACTTAAAGAAGTATTTTTATCACTATTACTATATTGCTAATCTACTCTGTGATAAGCAGAACATCCAAAGAAATGGAAAATGAAAGTAGTTGTATTATACCTTCCCCACAAAAGTCTATATTTAAAATAAAATGTGTAGAACAAACATTAGTAAGTGTGGTCACTTATATGACCCTATAAACTATATCCTTTCACTGATATTAGACACTAAGACTAGTGAGAGAACCACCTTTTACTACTTCTGTCTAAACCTGTTGATTGTTTGGGAGATAAGCATATTTCATCTTCGTCATTGAGTAAAGCCCAGGAGCAGATGATAAACTCAGTGTACTAGTGGGTTTCAAAATTAAATGAGACTTTTTGTTTTGAACACAAAGTATTTTTTTTGTTATTGTTGTTGTTCTGAACTTATTTTGTTCCAGGGTTTATTTCTTCAAATTTAGTTAAGTAGTGGTTTCAGATTGAGATTCCTGGTCTAGCAGTATTAGTGTTGTGAATTTTTTTATAAATTAAAGTTCTCTGGCCAAAGCACAGATCTATGGAATCTGAAATTTTAGGTTTGGGGCCTAGAATATGTTGGACTACCTATTGAAGCGTCTCTTGCAAGCTAAATGTGAGGTTCACTAAACTAGAAGACATGCTGTGGGCAGGGGTGGTGGGGGTGACTTTTTCTTGTGCGATTTGATTCTCCTAATTCCTTCTGCAAAATTTCTTCTTAAAAATGCCTCTCAGTTCTCATAGAGAATGTCATTTACACTCTAAGCAGTGGTATCAGAGGTGAGAATGTGTGAACATACAGTTTCTAAGTTGAGAGTGACCTTGAAGAGTATATCTTCTTACTGAAATACTGTTCATGCCATGACTATTTTCTGCTTTCCGTGCTCAAATCCTTTTAACTCTGTTGCACCAATTGCATGTGGTGACTTTATGAAGAGAGAAAATTTTTATTTAATATGTGAATGGGAGTCAGGCAAATCACAACTCTTCTTGGAAATGGTAAGAATATCTGAACCTATACTTGAAAAGTGTTGATTACCAAGTAAATTAAAACCAAGGTTTAATAAATAAGAAATTCTTGCACAGAGAGATATATGTCTTTTAAAAAATTATGTCTTCTAAGTGATTCTAGAAAATGAATACTGTGCATACTGGTATTTGATTAATATGATAAAACTGATATAACGTTACTCCTACCTGAAAATGGGCCAAGCTACTTGAGTTCCTGTTTTTTGAAGGGGGAGTGTGAGTGGGGGAGGCATTAAAACTACTTAAGCCACATCAAATGGATTGATTGGGTTGTCAGATTTTTTGCTATGCAAATTATGGTCGCAATCCAGGAATTATTGGAGTTGTAGAATTTCAGTGTCCATCCAGTTCCAGTGAATCAAAACCTACAACTTAATAAGACTCATGGGTGGCCCATATATACATATGTTTGAAAAATGCTGCAGTTGTCATATTATTTCTATATTTAATTATTGTGAAATTATAAAGTAGAATTTGAATAACAGATTTGAAGAGAAGGGGTAAATACATGCTACCCTGAGACCACTAATTGAATTAAATGTTACCCTAGCAATAAAAATTCACTTCTTGAATATTGTACTTAATTTAATCAAGCAGGTATTTGAATACTTTTTCTACAGTAAGTTTTAGACTCATGCAAAAGTGAAACATATCAGTTGTATTTCTTATACAATAGTCTGAAGATACTTGCACTAACTCCCACATTACACAATTTAACACTTTCCCCAGTTCCCTTCTGCACTTATATTCACTAAAACTAGGATATGTTAATTTCCTTCACTGAAACATTTCTATTTTGCTTATAGTTTTAGTCTTCAATTATGGCTCTGTATGAATGGATAGCAGCCTAGGAAAGAAAGGAGAATGGGTAAAGGGATGTGTAAGTATAGGGAACCTGAATGCTATCAAGAGACAGACTTTGCCCAACCCTAGATTTACTCCGGCAGGGAATACTTAACATACAACCCTCATCTGCAAAGAAATGAATGGAGAAGAGCTGGGGAGATAATGAAAAGTGACAGGTACTGCCACACCCTAAATTGACTCAGGTTCTTACAACTGTGATTACCATACTCCTATCCAGGGAGAAGGAAAGTGCTAAAAGAAATGGCAAGCACCGAAGGCCAGAGAGTCAGAGGTGCTAAAGCCCATTCCCTTCCCCACGTCATGGCCCATCACACGCTTGCTTTCGTGTAAATATCATTGTGTGGGAGAATCACCCGTGAGGGGAAGTGCACCCCCTCCCCACAACTGCCATCCCCAGCTATTGCCTTCGCCGTTGGCAGTAGCTCAAGCCCCAGCAGCACAGGAGAGGCTTTGGGGGAGTCGTGTGTATCCACGAGCGCGTGTGCGTGAGGAGGAGAGCAAAGACGTGATTACTTCAGAATTTATTTAAGGGCCGGTGGAAACCACTGCAGCAGCTTCCAGGGGAAGCCCTTGTTCCAGAGGAAGAGAAGGTGGAGGCAGCCAAGGAGGAGGTGGAGTTGGGGCGTTGGGAGGGGGGTGGGGAAAGACGGGGGAGGTGGAGCAGCAGCAGCAAGTGAGGCGAGTGAGGAGAAAAGATGCTGTAGCATCCACACCGGCTCCCAGCAGGTTGGTTCTTCCTGCCGACTGCGGCAAGCAAACAGGCTTGCAAAAGGCTGGCAGGAGAAACTGGGTGTGGGGGGCTGATTGCTCGCCTTTAAAAAGTGAAACGAGACACCCTAGTGTGGAAGTGGGCTGCGGGCCAGGAGGGGACTGATCCCGAAGCTAGCCTCCCAGGGGACTAGCTTCCCCTTAGCTTTCCAACTCCCAGTCTTTGCCATAAACTCGGGAGGGGTTCCGAGTGGGAGAATGGGTGGAGAACTCCCCTTCCAGATACTTCTCAAGCCTTTCCCCAAAGCTCACGTTCGGCGGGACACCCCCTGGATGGCCCGGACCCGCATAGGGAGCATCGCCACTGGGTTAACTTTCTGCAAGTCAAACCCAGGCGTCAGTTCCCGGCTCCCCGCCCCGGGTCTCCAGCTGCACGCGTGGAGCTGCGGCTGCTCGGGCAAAGGGCTGCTGCTGCTTTAAGAGCCGCCACCCCCCTCTTCTCTCTTTGACAATGGTCTGAACCGAGCTCTGCTTCCTAAAGCAAAATTTGTAATATGCCATTTTTCCGATGGACGCTTCTCCTCTTGGCTGCTGATGGAACCGCGGGAAGATGCCGAGTTACTGCCAAGCCACCAAGCCGGGGCACGTTCCGGGAGGGCGCCGGGGCAAGCGAGTGTCTAAGCTGCCTTTCTCCTCCCGTTGCTAGGGAAATGGTCCAGGAGTGCCGGGCGTGAGCCTCCTCTCTCGTCGAGCCGGAGACTGCGGTTGTCATTGATCAATTGAAGAAGCAGGACCCGAAATTACAAACATTAGGTACAGAAGCCTTGTTTGAGTTACCACGGTTTCCCTTCCGCATTTTTTTTTTTTAAAACCCCTTCCCCGGCCCCACCCCGCCCCCAGGGAAGATGAGATGCAAATTCTCCTTTGCCAATTACTGTTCTGTACCTTTCGATTTCCACCCCCATCCTTTTACTTCTCCTATTTCTCTACCTCCTCCCTACTTGGCTCTCTCTTGTTAGGCAGGATGAAGAATTTTAGTATGGAAATTATGAAGTCAACTTCTGGGTGGTGGGGGGTGTGGCTGAGAAAGAACTGTCCAGCTGTGTGGGGTGAGCTGGCTTTTCGTCTCCTCTAAATGCACTGAAGAAAGTGCAGAATGCTTCCATTAGAGTTGATAATATATCCTGAGGACAGGAGATTTCAAAGAGTTAACTAGTAGGAGGAATATTCGTATAATGTAATCAGACAATGGCTAGGATTTCCCTCACTGAGTTACTCCTAGTAGGTTAACTGAAATGGAGCTGGGTTATTTCTTAAGACTAAAATTTTCCAAAAGAAATTAACTATTGAGAATATTTCATCTTTGCCTCTTGTACTGTCTAAATCTAGTTATCTGTTTGAGTAAAGTGATTTATGATAGCAAAAAAAAAAAAAAAATCCCATTGTAGAACTAAGGTGCTGCTTGAATGATTATATTCCAAGGAACACATCTTGAAAACCCTTGGCTGGTGTCTCCAGGAGTGGACATTCAAAACTTTTATTTTGATATTAGAGAGATTTAAAAGACAGTCAAGGTTACGTGCTAAGAATAAAGGAATTGGTTTTCCTTGTATAAAATTGTTCAAGCTATATTTAAGCACTGTGATAATTAAACCAAACAGGTTTATTTTTTTCCCCTTCACAACAAAATAAACACTGTCTATAGGTCTTGAAACTTTCAGTAATTTGATGAACGAGACATCAGCACCTGGAAAAGGAAATTATAATTCATCTATCCAAATGACTTTAGGGTGAGCATGATGAAAAGGCAAATAGCAAAGCAAGCTGTTAGTGTGCTCTTCCGTTTCTTCAGGAATTATGTGATGTCATGCAGTTCTTAGTGTTAAAAATGGTTAAAAAAAGTTAAAAGTGTTATATGTGAATGATACACTAGGAATTGGATGCCATAGCTTTCTACACTGTGTAAGTTCTTTCAGATGTCATGCATTTGATAGAGACTATTTAACTCTTAAACTGAATGAAGATTGTAATTGCTTTTAATGACTAAAATATGCATTTAAGGAAAATAATACTATATTTTAAGGACTGGGCAGATATTTATTTTGTAATATATATTTGACAGAATTTGAGTTTTATTGCAAGAAACTAAGCTAGCTCATGAAAGTGACCTTATTTTTTTGCACACAATTGTTTTTTCAGTTGCATCTAATTTTCAGGAAGAGACTTTAGGTTTATCCAATTGTGTTGACTGAAGAGAGTAACATGGAGTCATCTGATTTTTCAAGTAACTTTACATAGTTTGAATTTTTTAAATTGGATTTAGGGAGTGCGGAGTACCAATTAAATTTAAAACCATTAAGCATGGAAGCAGAATGAATCATGAAATTAAAATATTCTTTCTGCATAGATGACTGTTGGTCACTTAATAATAGAAGTAAATATTTGAATTTGCAACAGTTCTTTGTGATTCTGCTGTGTGATTATAGTCAGGGTTTCCTTGGAGTCTGACACATGGATTATTATCCATTCTTTACGGAAATGAAACTGAAGTTTTGACTTGCCCTGGTTCACATGCCTCAGGAGTAAAATTGAATCAAGGTCTTTTGAGTATAACTTTAATAGACTTTCTAGGTCCCTAAGCTGCTTCTTACCATAGCATCTATAGGCTGACTAAATTAAAGACCAACTTTTATACTGATTTAAGAGCCTAAAGTTTGTGAATGTGTAATATCCCATGGTGACCACAAGTCTTTGTTAGAATTAGGGTAGCATATTCAGGAGGAAATTATTCCCAAGGTAATCAATGCAGTTGTTTGTTTCCAGAATTTAAAATTGTTATGGGTAATTCAGACTAGAGATCAGTTAATGGCTTTATTTTGAGAAGGATCTGATTTAAAATACAGACTTGAGAATATTTCAGTACCCTCACAAGTGTATAGGCACAAATTGTCAGTGTTACCATTTCCTCACCCAGTATTTTGTTTTAAACTTAAATGTCAAAAATAAACACATTGAACTCTTGGTAATGATCTTTCAGAATGACACATCTTGTCAGAATATGGATTTCATGATGATAGACAAATTAATTAAATATTCAAATTATTAGAATTTTTTTATTCCAATTCCTTTTCAGTTAATGTAAAGAAAATTTGTAGCAGTTGGAAAAGAGTCTCCTTGTTTTTTGTAGTATTGAAGAAAAATTCAAATTTATGGGAAAAATAATTTCATTTATTAAGCGGTCAATAATAGTAGCACACGTGAGTATGAATCAGTGTGTTGCCATGTGCATGTATGTTAAATAGGTATACATGTATAATATATATGCATGCATACATTTTACTATTTATTTTGGAATATATAAGAAATTGACCACTTCAAGTTCTTATTTTCTGATAATTCAGTGTTTTGAATGACCACTAATAATTTAAAAAGTTATCTTAAGCTTTAGTTATCCTAAAGCTTACCACTCCCCCTTTGTGTTTTTTGTATAGGCGATGAATCACAATGTACTTTCATTTATAATTTTTAAATTTCTCCCTACTTTTTAGTGGGCCCTGACCAAATCATCATAGAAAATTGAGTTTCTCTCTTCAGTAACTCAATTTATATGAAGAATCACATTAAAAGTAATTAATTATTGAGCTGTTAAGTCTTGACATTTTATTTGAAAATATCACCAGAAATATTTTCCCCAAGGACAAGAATATGTAAGTAGAAAAATGAATTGACCTTGATTTACAAAACCAAAGAATGCTCCAGGATCAAGAGCCAAACCAGCCTTTCTCCACATCAGCCTTCTGCAAAACCAAGCCCTTTAATTAATAGCTCCTGGCCCCAGTACAAAAGCTGAGATTGAGATGGGCTTGATTTATTTTTTTTAACATAAGGTAGAAGATAAAAGAGAATATGAGATAACTTCAGATTTTTAAATGCCACACATAGGTCAGTAAGATATCTGAATGCCGGTGCTGTATATTTTAAGTCAAATTAATAAGTGATTAAAAAAATATCGTGAGCAGTTCATTTAGTTCATCACTGGGAGCTTGTGATTAGCAGCAGCTGAGATGTGAAGTTACTACATCAGCTAATGTAATTTATGGCATCTGTTTTGTGGAATATGTAAAAGAGTGTTAGTTTGTATTGTTTAGATGGAAACCAGACAGTGCAGCTCATAGCAAACAAAGGAATATTAAGTGTAATTAGTAGTGTAATGTATGCACCTTAATCTATTTCATATAACTTATGTTTAACTCAGTCAGGATCATTTATTTACTCTGTTAAATCTCCGTAGGAATTCAGGAAGAAGCATATGAAAGAAATAAAAAGGAAAATATAATGTCAAGGAACTATAAGTTGGTTGGTAATAAAAATTTCTGTCAATAAAGAGAAAATTGATTATTGTGTAAAATGAATAATTCTTTGTAGGCTTTCTAGATGAAAGAGTGAACATTAATTAATGTATTTGCCACTCAAAAATCACTTACTTTCTATCCTTTAAGTGCTAGACACTGTATTGATTGTTAATAATATAACACAGAAATGTAAGATGAAGGTCCTAATTATAAAGGATTTGTAAACTTTCAGGGAAATAAAGGTGATGAATTAAAGGATTTGTAAACTTTCAGGGAAATAAAGGTGATGAATTAAAGGATTTGTAAACTTTCAGGGAAAGAAAGGTGATGAATTAATAAGTAATAGTAGGTTACTATAAATTAAATTAGATGGGCTAACTCATGAATTTACAAAAAAATCTTGAGAAGTAGAGGAAGCCAAGCTTTAATTTTTAGGTAATAGATAAGTGGATTTTCATGAAAAGTGAAAGCATGTGGATTGCAGGAAGTCAATGAGTCATATTTCATTGAGGTCAAAATATTTAGCTGGATTGGAGTTGGAGCAGTGAGTTTATAAGAAGAGACAATTAGGCTAATGAGTTGTAAAGGGGCTGTTAAGTTGAGGATCAAGTGGCATGATAGAAAATTGTTTCTTACTAAGACTCCTCTTTATTTTCTTCAAGCAATGATGTGTGAAGTGATGCCCACGATTAACGAGGACACCCCAATGAGCCAAAGGGGGTCCCAAAGCAGCGGCTCGGACTCAGACTCCCATTTTGAGCAGCTGATGGTGAATATGCTAGATGAAAGGGATCGTCTTCTAGACACCCTTCGGGAGACACAAGAAAGTCTCTCACTAGCTCAGCAAAGACTCCAGGATGTCATCTATGACAGAGATTCACTCCAGAGACAGCTCAATTCAGCACTGCCACAGGTAAGCCTGCTGATAGCATTACCTCTCTATTGCAATTGAAAATGTTTAAGATTTAAATAAACTTATAATTGTTTTTCTTTTAACATAAGTGATATGAGTATTTTGGTAAGGAAATATTTAATAGATCATTAATTCACACAAAACTTTACTTCAAACAAAATTTGCTATTGTAGAGGATGTCAAGTATAAGTTCCAGACTTGTTTTTCTTTGAAAGACTTTGTGTGTGAGTGTATATATATATATATTTATGAAGGTAGCAGATTACCTATTGTTCAGATTTTCATCCCTAGAATGTGGGAATAATTTTATTTTTTACTTTTTTAAACACTGTTGTGACAGTTATATATATTTTCCATTTTCTGTTCTATGGACTGTCTATATTTATTATTTGTTGTTCTTTAAAAATACCTTACACCTGTTTAAGAATTCTTGGAGCTATTTGACATATTACTGTCTCTCTTTGTCTCAACAACATTTTAGCCAGTTTCTCTTTTTAAAAAGTTTGGGAATTGAAGAAAAAAAAAAAGCTTCAGCCTTATTCACACTAACTCAAAATTGTTTGGATAGTTATTTTAAATGCATTTTTGTGAAACACATTATTTTATAGAAAAACAATAGAGCATTAAAAGAACTGACAATTCATTTATATACAAAGTTATGAACGTATTTTTTCTTACTTAAGGACTATAATTGTGTTTATTAGATGTATAACATATAATATGAATGAGATTTTTAATAATACTTGATGCACTGTATTTTTCTATTAATGCAAATTTGATTGGTCCTTTGCTTTATTTTTTTGAAGGATTATTTATTTATGCATACAAAACTGGGGTACAGGCCAGAGGTACAGGGGTGGTGAGAGAATCCACCAGAGACAGAGCAGAACAGGCAGATCGATGAAGCACACTGCTGAGGGGAGTATCGGGCTGGTCAGGAGAGGTCTGTGGTGCCATGTGGATCTCCTCCTGGGCTGGAGATCAAACTAGCACTGAAGTGTTTGCAGATAGCTTGCAGTGCTGCATCCTAAGCCGTTGCGCCACCAAGGAGGGCCCGGTTCTTTGTTTTAAAGAGAGTATAGCAAATGTTAAAAAGAGTTTATATTTCTCCACAGAAATATATTACTTACTTCTTACAGCAAGTATCTTTCCACAGATATTGAAAATTAAACAAATTTAACAAAATTGTAAGCCCAACTGTACCATTAAGTTGCAGTGTGATTTGAGATATTTATGACTTAGAATGGAAAGAATCACCCAGAACCTTTTGTCATGGCCCTTTGCTAACCTCATATCCATGTGTGGATCACCACTGTCCCAGTCGTGTTCATTTTCAGCCTATTTCTCTTGTGTTATGACACAATAATGTTTCAATTGTGCTTACCTGTTGGTACATTTGTTCCTTTAATCACACTGTATGCCTTGATTCACTTCAAAAGACAAGTGTCATATCTTCACCTAGAATTTTAAGGTAGACAGTTCAGTCTCTGCAATTGTTGGTCACACCTTCATTTCTAGAATCACCACCAATGTGTTTGTTCTCTTTTAGTTCTTTGTGCTGGTAAAGTATGGTTCTGAGACCAATTACACTATTTCACATTATACACAAATGAATATACTATAGCAATAACACTATAGTACCTCCTGTGACAAACTTAGAATAGGGACAGTTGTTTCTCTTTCTGGATAGACTGATTTCCTAAAGAAACCTAGGATTATATTTCTGGGCAAATTCAAAATTCTTTCAGTGTTTCCCCAGACAGAGTCTACTGGTTGCTTAAATGCTGTGTGTGCCCCTATCTCCCCCATGGTTTTTTTGGAAGTTGACACTTTGGTCCTTAATATTAAAGTACCATGCATGCAATTAACAACCTCCTATATCTATCTTTTACTATTTTACTCATTCCTGATGCTATCATTTTGGAACCCAATTCTATCATAGTGATTTCAAAAATCATTTGGATTTTATTTTTTTTCTTTATATGTAGAAAAAGTAGACAATTACTTCCTAAGGATGTAATGTTGTAAAAATGAATATTTTTCTTGGGAAAAGAAAGCAACTAAATATATTTTCATATATTAACATTATATGGGTAAATTACTTCTTAGTGGAACAAGAATGAAGATAAATTTTAATTCTAGTTGTTCAGTTTTGTTGAATATCTAGATCATATATTACATAAAATTTTAGGTTTCAAACTTTGATTCCACTGATGTACAGTCATTTTTCCAGCCCTCTTGGGGCCATTTGTGTTTTACAGTTCCAATTTTTCCTAATATTCTGTGCATGTATAATGTATATTATGCAACACTTCTGATGGATTCTGGGCAGCATCACAAAATTATATGCTTTTATATTTCTAAAGAGAATTTTATGAATGTTCCTACTGCATGGAAAAGTATAAAAGCTCTCTCTCATGTTATTAGAGGTCTGGCTTTATTACCCATAATGTCTGTTACATACATACAAGTAAGATATTCATTTTTTTTTTCTTTTTGAATTCTAGATTAGGGATTATGTGCCTGTCTATTTAAATGGTTATAGTTCCAATTGCTTTCACAAATAATTTGACCCATTTTTTCAAAATTATTTTGTTTTACTATTACAAATAGTGCAATACCTATAACAGTCCGTGTCCTTGAAGATAGTAATGGCTATGTCATTTTTAAAATCAAAACTATTTTATAATTTGAGGACTATAAATCATTTGCAAATAATAGGGAAATGTTCTACCTTAATTGGTAGCTTGGATTCTCTTTGAATATTTTGTAAACAATATACCAGCATTGTTTTGTGCACTGACATTTACTGGGAAAGAATAATGATGACCATACGTGTGAGTTTGAGGCAGAAATAAAACATGAAAAATTGAAAACTACAGCAATAGCATGAAAATGAAAATTGTATTAGAGAACATGAGCTTGAATTTAAAGTAGTCAAACTTTATGACATGTTGTGTTCTAAATTGCCTATGTAATAGTATCAAGTATTGGTGATGTGAGGCTTTGCTTTAATCACTTTTCCCCCATGAGCAAATGCAACAATGATTTAACAATTCTAATCATATAAAGAATTTTGTAGCAGTAGTGTATACCTTTTCATTATGTTACTGGTGTAACTGTTTAAAGTGTACACGTAATTCCACATCACTCTAGATGTCCAACTTGATGTTTCTAAGCTACTGACGCAGTTTTCTACTTTTCTAATGTATAGATTTATTTAATGTTCCACAAATATTTGGATTCATACTTGATCACTCTCTGCCTTCAGCCCCTACTCAAATCTGGTCTAATACCTAACTTAGACACTTAAGAATTCTTAGAGGAAATACTTTTTCCCTCATCTATGAACTCAGTCTTCATTGAGCCACACCATTTTTTTTTTTAAGATTTATTTATTTGTGCATACAGAACTGGGGTACAGGCCAGAGGCTCAGGGGCGTTGAGAGGCTTCACCAGAGACAGAGTGGGAAACAGAACAGGCAGATTGACGAAGTACACTGCTGAGGGGAGCAGCAGGCAGGTCAGGAGAGGTCTGTCGCGCCATGTGGTCACCTCTGGGGCAGGCAGGAATCGAACTCTTGCAGAAGTGGCTTTAGATTCTCAGTGCTTTAACTTTGCCACCAGGGAAGGCCACGCCATACCGTTTTTATCAATTAAGAAATTTTCAGATTTTTATATTCTTTTCTGTTCTTTGACATCTGGCCCTAACCTTTGCTTTATTTCCTAACATTACCACCTTTGTAAATGTGTCACATAATATGTTGGAATAATGCTGTATTCCTTGTCATGTCCTGAAGGCTTATTGTTTCTCATTGTTACTAAATTACTTGTTTATGGACCTGTTTCCCAACCTGAAATATATGTTTCTTGAGAACAGGAGCATAGCTTAATCACCTACAACTTTCTGGATTAGTAGAGTACCAGACCCATAGTGAGGGCTTTTAAGTAAAAACAGAACTGAAATCCTTGTGTTTTGATGTAGAAAGACAAAAGATTTGAAATAGGAATATCTGGTTTTTATATCATACATCATCAGCCTGAGTCACAAAAGTTATTAATGCTGATATCTCACAGGGTAGTTTGTGATGATTAAATATGATAATATAATGAATTGATCAAAAGGTTAGCTATAGAAATGCTTCCATTTGTTTATCCAGAATGCCAAATGACAAAATTCATATATATGTAAGCTTATGTTTTAAATATTTAAGTTATAACACACACACATATCAATAAGTGTTAGAACAATTTCCAGGAATATTGACAAAATAAATAATCTTTGACATTTTGAAATAGGGCAACTCTTTGTCAAATCCTAATACATTTATTAAGACCATCTAAAAGAGAGGTAACTATGGTTAGATTTTCATTGCAAAAGGTCATTTGTAAAAGTTTAAAGTTCTTCTTAGAAACTTATTGAGCATACATTAATAGTCTTATGTGTATTTTTAAATAGTTATATGTGTTTGTAAAGGGGATAAAAAAAAAGAACATTTATAGCTTCCAGAGAGCATAGGGAATTGAGTTATTTGGAGAAAAATTATAAATGGATTCATTAAAATAGTACCAGTAGATTATAGGAATAATGAAAGTATTTGAACTGTAATATTGACATGTGATTGGTGACAGAAAATTTCATGTGCAAAGTGATTTTTAGAAAGATTTTTAAGAAAATATTGGAAAGAACTTAAGGGTATTCCATGTGGGACAGCAGAGCCTTGCTCAAGGACATGGACTGGAGAATGAATTCTAGCCTATGCTCTCCTGGCCAGTGTAGGCTCAAGCTTCCTAATTTGTAGAAATAAGACAGATATATACCCCAAGTTCAAAAAGAAAACGCACACCTAACTAGGAAATAAAGAACTAACAGATTTGTTTGTTGAAAGATTGTAGGATAGAAGTGAAATTCTCTATGTGCAGTTGAAATGTTGTCTGTTCATGTGTATGGTAGAAACCAAGGGTAGGTGTTTGATACAAGATGGGATAATTGGCATTCT